TTTTTAAAATAAAAATACTATTCTTATAATAATAACTTGTCATTATATAATTTACTTTATTTGTTTAGATACTTCCTATAATATTATATATATTTATCATTTTTGTTCAACGACCATATTTCCCATATATATAGATGGGAAACTTAAAACTTAAAATGATGCTTGTACCTTCATTCCTTCGTAGATTGATAACCTATACACTAGAAAATAAATTCATATGGATGCATGAATGAGTTACTAACCTATAGGGCATTACTATTAAATGTTGAAGCTTGATATCTTCAAATTAAAGTTTATCATAATTAAGAACAAATATATACCTACTTTAAGATTTTAATTTTAAAGTCAAAATTCTAAAGGTTTAAAGGATTTAATGGTAATATATTTTTGATGTGAAATAAAAGATTTTAAATTTAACTTATAAGGTATACAAAATTCTATACCCATACAAAAGAAAAATTCTAGGTACAAGTCTTAGAACACGGCTTGAAGGAGAAGGTTTGCTCACATTGTTCCATTGTACCAAAAAAAAAAAAAATTCTAGTGTCAAGGGTAATTAAGAACGAAAATCACATGCTTATGATGACCTATTCCCAATTCTCAAATGATAAAATAAAAAATGGTTAAGGATCCAATGGCAAAAACTGTAAGGTGGAGGGCATAATCAAATATTATTCAGAATGTTGAGAAGCACATGTACAATCGATGTATCTGAGAAAAAAAAAGAAAAAAAAAAAGAAAAGAAAAAGAAAAGGCCTAAAATGAAAAGAAGAGGGCAAGGTGAAAGATGAAGTGGCTCGCTCTCTTCTTCATGACAATTGTAATTTGGGTTTAGAATTAGATTCCACATTGCTTTGTTAGATAAAGGCGATGCCTAATATAATTCCGGATGCAATTTGTCGTCTCCTCCAAGAGTTAATAGTTTTACCATTGGAAGGAATCGTCGGAAGGAGGAAGTCGACGACGATCCGGTTTGTTGCAGACACTTCGATCATAGCTCAACCATGGCTTCTGTAGCAGTTTCACGAATCTAAAAGTAAGCATTTCTTGTTAATTATTAATTTTTTTTAACCATTAAGATAAATAACATTAATATTTTTTATGTAAAGTTTGATGATATTAACAAAACAACGATAACCTTATTAGTTATATATATATATATATATTGGAAAATACTAGCTTTCATTCAAATCATGAACTTATTGACATACAAGAGATAGGAAATAGAGCCATCCATGGAGCATTTTTTGCAATTTCATGCGCATGCAAGTCTATTTTGCTCCTTCCTAACACGTGATACCAGCGACAATCTCAAACTCCCACCCAAGCCTTTGACGGTTTGACTTCAGCTACCAAAGCACCAGCCGTGCTCTTTAGCTTCCATACTGCCAGTGGGCAATCAGACTCAAGCACAACCTACTGAAATATCCCATGTCCCTAGCTGGAACCCCATAGGCATCATCTCTCCAACAACACTCAAATCACCTTGTTGAGACTTCCTAGCCAATTGTAAACCAAGGTGGCCCGGCCTACTATGTCAGAATTGCCACCCCCCGTTGATACCCAACCCATCCCTGGAACGATGGATACATCAATGTTTACTTTCACAAACCCTTCCGTTAGGCTGCTATACATCCATCTGAATTGCTGTGTCCCTTCTCCTCATATGCGATCTTGATCACGGGTTGCCACAATTTTGAGAAATTCTTTTATATAATAGGATATTATGTCAACAGTATTCTCATCTATTAATATAGTGACACTCCTTCACAATCTAAATATACATTTCCACACAATGTGAACCCCTATCAACCGTCTCACATTTTCAAAAACACAACACAAGCATCTTATTGCGCCATATAATCCACAAATTAAACTTCTCCATCAACTCTTTAATAATTTGATTTGTTAACTCATTATTAAATAAAAAAATTATTTGCATGCTATACTAACTTAAATTAACCCAAAAGTATTAAATGTTGAAGCTTTCAAATTAGAAGTTTGTCCCTGCCAAATTAGAATTGAAATTCCAGTATATACTAACTGCAAAATTAAATACAAAAAGTGGTTGAGGATCCGATTGTAAAAATTGAAAGGTGGAGAACATAATCAAATCATGTTTAGAATGTTGAGGAGGCCCCTTTTAACAATCTACGCATGAGAGAAAAAGTAAAACGCCTCAAAAGAAGAGGGAAAATAAAAATGAAGATGCTCTTTTTCATGGCAGCAGTGATTTCCGTTCAGATTCCACATTGCTTTCTCAGAAAAAAAAAAAGGCGATGACTATTACTATTCCGGACGCAATTCTCAGAAGCAAATCGTCGGCGGAAAGTCCACGGTGATCCGGTCCGGTTAGTTGCAGACAGTTCGATTACGCCTCCTTTGTGGCTTCGCCACGAATCTGAAGCAATTATTTCTTCTTCTTCTTGATTTTCAGTTTCTTTCTGCCGTATTTTCATTTCGTTGAGATTTACTATACTTATTGATCATCGCGAATCTGCTCAAAATCCTTGAAATCAGGTCGCATAGGAACGGTCTGAAGTGTGGCTTCTGGATTTTTAAGCAAATGCATCGACATGGATGCCTCCGGCGTATTGAGTTAAGCTTCCCTCGTTTCTTTACTTCGATAGTGAATGGCTTGTTCTTGATGTTTCATTATGATGATTGCTTGTTTTGTTCCTCTGTGCTTATTTGTGATTTGCATGTGTAGTTGCTTTCAGTGCTTTCTGCGTTGAATCAGTATCAAGCATTTGATTTCATCAAAGTAGTAGTTTGGGCATGCATTCGCTGACTTTCGATTTTGATCTAATTCTGTTCTTCAAGTTAACATAATCTCAATTAATAGAACAAAAAGCCAACAAGAAAGAACAATGATGCAGCAACGGGAGGCCTAAAAAAATTAGTATGCATTCATTCATGTTTAAAAAAATGTGGGATAGCCTTGTACCTGGGATAGGATATCTTCACTTTCATCCATGAAGTAAGTCTGTGATTATTGTTGGAAGCTGTAAACTTTCCTAGTATATGAAGCTTTGATATATACAATTTTCCTAAGATTTCCGTGAATGTCTCCAGAAACTGAAAGCCAAGACTGTCAGACCAGCAACGCCAGCTAAAATCTGCAGAACATGACAAAAGACAAGTTTTATTTAATGCATCATAAAGGACTACTTCACCATTTGAACCTCCGAAATTCAGTAAAAACTACTGAGAATAATTGAGGTATTGGTAAACAAGGCAAAGATCTGATTAGAGGAAACATCAGTATATGGTTTTGAAAGACACAATCTTCATGCAAAGAACAATAACTCTTGGTGTTTTAGATGATATATGCAATAATGCAAAGCATAGAGGAGTTAGGGAACCAACTAAACAAAGCGTGTATGACTTGGTAGTTTTGGGAAATTTGAAGAATTTTGATTATGAGGAGAATTTGCTAGATACTAAAAATGTGGTAAACTAGTTTGATACTGACCTTTGTGTCTCTATCACTAGGCTTCCATAACAGAGCAGATCTCAGCCACTTTGACGCACGTGGTTGGGCCATTAAAATCACAGCAGTGTATTGATTTTTGCAAGGGTAGGGCATTATCCTTTGCATTGCTGACTGTGTCGTTAATTGTGTGAGTGATTCTCTAATTCTGGAACGTCCTTCTTCATGAACCTGCTCCAGTGAAACGTTCAAAAACTTAAAAGGATTATCAAAATAAATAATTAATTCTTCTCCTAATGTAACAATTCTTAAAAGGGAAAGCTTGAGTTTCTCTGTCAAAAATTTTCTTTAAAGAGGGAAGCTACTACTAATGGAAAAAGATGGTCAGAGCCACCAACCTGAAATGCATTGCCAATATCACCAGAATAGATCCTAGATTGGTAGCTGTCTAAAATCTTCTGCAACCAGTAGTTATTATCCTACAAGGGCCAAGAGAAAATTACAACCAGAACCAGCTATGAACAATTTTCATTTCTCTTATCCATGAATGAACCTTAATCTTTGTTTCAAAACCAAGGGGTTTGGGCAAATTAGATGAAGATAATTTATTTTTGTTTCAAGGTTAAAAGTTAAAACCATAGGCATGAGACTCCACGTTCCACCTTGGAAATAAATGAGGACGTAGAGAAATCTAACCTGTAGTCCATTTTCATAGGATCTCTGTTCAATTGCCAGTATGGTAGAAACATCTTGGTCTGAAGGCCCTTCTTCTTGGAGATGCAATATTTCATCCAAAGCAATATCAACCTGTTAAGAAATATTAATGAACTGGAATGTAATTTGATAGGCAGGTTAATGATTAGATTCCATAAATTAAGATGGTCATACCAAGTACATACCAGCTTAGAGGAAATTTTCGGGTCACAAGAAAAATGTATTCTAATATAGCCATGCATGTCGTCGGTCCTATGAGGCATGTTGCCGCTAAGGTTTACTGAAACACTTGCAGAGTAGATCTGGGGCATGGAGGGAATTATTTAAAGTTGAGGAGAAAGAATAAGAAAATGCTTAAGCTTAAAAGGATTGTCCATGCATACCTGTCCATGCTTGAAACGGAGAACCTGTAATATTTTTGTTTCAAAAAGTTCACTTAGGAAGTCAAGATAAAGAATCTCTTCTACCTGTCATTTAATTTTTCCAACAGAAAGATACATCAGTAAAATAAATGTGTTTCCCTGTCCTTTAACTTCTAGGAGAATAACCAACCGTTGTCACTTTTGTCAGCTCCACAGGAAAGGATAGAGTGACCCAACATTGTTCTTCCACCATGGGGCTGCGCACCACTTCTCTACAAGCATAATGTGTGATTATGGTCAGGGTATGTGTCAATGTTCCTGTGGGCATGCATGTTTGTGTGTCTGTGTGTATAGTACACACACAAACAACACACTTGCACACTCTGTACATTAAAAATGCATATCTGCCTTTTGAAATCAAGGACAATCAAGTAGGTAGACCAAAAAGCTTTTCCTCCCTCAAAACATCTTGATGTTAGAGTTTGACTGCCTGGCATAAAATAACTTACCTAACTACGGTTGTTGGAAAGTTAAATGGTAGTCCTTTGATGTAATCACTCATAAGGTGTAGAACAGGTTCTGATGGCTTTGGTATTCCTCCCTGCATGGAGAATTGCAGACCCTGTAAACTTAAGAAAAAATGTGTCCAGACATAGACCCATGTGGCTTGAAAAGAAACCCAACTTACCAAGTACTGCAGCATTAAAGGAATCGCAGCTGCAGGATCAATATTACCAACAATCACAACTGTGAAAGTTGATGGATCCTTGAAACAGCTGTTGAAATATTCACAGGCTTTTGATGGATTAACATTACTAAGGTCACTTATTTTAAGAGGCTGCAAAAGTAGAAATTATATGAAGTTAAAGAAGATTTAGAAAATGAGATTTTTTTTTTTTTTTTTTTGGAATATGAGATGAATCATACCTTAAAAAAGTAAGAGTTTCCACGGTGAAGCTCAGTCACTCGATTTCTAAATATAGTATAAGGATCCCTCTCTTCAGCACGAATATATTCTTCTGTCCTTTGCATCACTAAATCGACTTCTTCTCCTGGTGTTACATATTTCATAAAAAGTTGATAGACAAGCTGCCATGACAAGTAGAATTGGGAAACTTTAGTGGGAGAGGATTAGATATTGAATTAGCTTTCCATGAAAAATTGCAGGTAAGACATGCATATAACCATACAGCTTGATTGTGTTTTATCTAATTTCAAGATTACTTTTTGAACACTAATTCATTAACAAACCATATTAGTTCATATAAACAGCAAATACAGTTTTGAAATGGAGATCTTAAACACAGGGATAGTTTAGCAGTTAAAAAGCGCTAAGAAGCAAGGATGTTACTGGATAATGTAGTGAAGCAAATAAGCAAACCTGCAAGGCTGTCTCCAAATCGGAGGGTGAACATTCACCATGGAAGGTTCTCATGTAGTTCCCAACCCTTGTTCTGACTCTAACTTTCTTACCAGCAAGCATATCTCCTAAGACTGATGGTTTATGGCCAAATACACCTATTTCTTCAGCAAACGATGATCCCATCATTGATGAAAGATACTCACTTTCTGAGAGTTCAGATAAACCCCCATATGAGAACCCAGAGAAAATAATCTGTTGAAACAAAGAGTACATGAGAATTATGTATTTTTTATATGATCTCAGGCTCATTAAAGACTATCATGGCATCAAAGTTTGAGATAACATTTTTGAACTGTTATTCAGCTTTATTACTAGAATCTTTTTGGATGTTTTCTCACTGATAGGATTTCTAAATTCTAACTGGGAATAGTCAAATTGTTAGAGAATCTGTACCTGATCATTAGAAAAGTCTGTACATTTGTAGCAAACTTCCATTCCATTTGATAGAATTAGTTCAGTAGCTCTGAAATTTGAGTATTCATGCTGCTTTACAATGTTCCTGATGTAAAAATTTTCATACTAAGAATTGCTGTTATGATGGTGCTATATTTAAATTTACATCTCATACCATTGGATTTGGAAATCAACTGCTGATGAATTACGTAAGATCACACGTAAGTGGATCTTGTCTCAAATAAAATTGTTTATCTGAAATAAAAGGACATATCTTACCCTGGATTTGGCTTTATATCTACAATTTCTTCGGGAATTTGCTCATCATTCCATGGAGAAATGTTACTATCCATCTCAAGTTTAATGACCTCTGAAACAACCTTTTTGAGGTTACCGATTGTTGCAGAAGATTGGGGTTCAACTATCTTCATGACACAGCTGCATGAGGTTTGTAATTTCTCTGCATACTTGGATACCTCAGATGCTGATATATCTGTGTAGATAAAATCCAGTATGGAACAAAATGCAACATTAGATTTACTTTTTGTTACAGTTACCTAGAAATAGCAAACTAAAAGCATCAGATAATTAATTTACTGACGTGGCAGCATAGTTTTCTGGAGTTGAGCCTCATACTCAATCCCAATAACAGGTTCATTGTGGATGAAGTGCTTCAGAATAGAAACATGAAGATAAAGTTAGTTTTTGGGATTCAATAAGTGGAAACTGGATAGAATTGGAGTATACCTGTACATAGTCATATCTCAGGCTGGTTGATTTCCTTTTATCACGCTCCAAATAGGCAGATTCAATCCATGACATCATTAGAGCTCGAACAATGGATATCTCATGTTCTGAGAACCCATGAAGTCGTGCCCTTGAAACTTCAGTAAGCATTGATTCTAGGGCCTTTAATGTTCCTTTTTCTTTACACGTTGAGTACATTATATAAGCTCTAACTGGGCGAGCAAGAGTATCTGCATATAGTGAGCATGAGAAATAGGGCGGATTCTTTCTACGAGAAATTTTTGAGAACCTCTGGTTTAAAGCAGTTAGGAACATGGATTCCACAAGTCCATCCCTGTAGTCTTTTATGGTCTTCATTTTCTTAACTGGCATCTTGTAGCTGATCATCACTTCAGACTTTTACAAGCAAACAAAGCAAAATTGTTAATTTTTTTTCTTTGTTTTTTGGCAATATTGTTCTGTTTTATTAATAGATAGAAAATGACTGCAAGATGTACTAACCCCAGTAGCTTCAGAATCCACAAAACATGAATAGCGTGGCTGCTCATGAGATGGAACATGAAAATTTGGTACTGGTGAAGGGTTGGATGCTGAAGTTTTTTGACTGAAATGAGTCTTTATCAACTCAACAACACTCTAGAGGAACAAAACAGAGATTGTTAAGAATCCTTAGTAACTCCAGCAAAGAGAACCTGTATAGGAATAAATTCTAACCTCTGTATCAGGGAAATCGCCAACGGCTATCACTGCCATTTTGCTTAGATGATACCACTTTTGATAGAATTGCTTTGCAGTTTTAGAAGTAACACCTCGTATTACTTTCTCTAAGCCAATAGGTAAGCGATCGGCATACTGCAACCAAAACAAGTTGTATAAACAGGATAGAGTTTTCTTATTCTTGAGGTAAAAGTAGGTATGTTTTGGATTTGAACATTCATGCAATGTAACCATAGAGACTATAAAATTTAAGAGAAATTAGAAATTAGTCAAACATGATGACTGTACCTTTGAGCCTCCCATTAACAAACTCCAGTATGCATCCCGAATTCTTTGATTAGCATCTCGGCCACTCCTATACTCCTCCATGACAGCTCCCCGTTCTTTCTCCAGATCTTCATCTGCAATTCGAATCTGTGCAACACAAATAAGCAATTCTCAAAAGAGTGAATAAAAATGGAGGAATATGAACAGAAATTAGGAAAAATTAATACCTCTGTGCTGAACTCTGCCAAGATGGAAATGGCCTGAGATAGCAGTTCCGGCTTGTCTATGGGAACCAGCAATTCATACAGAGTCTCATCAAAAGACGTCCATGCATTGTGACAAGGTCCAAATTGAGCACCAATGCTTTCCAGGAACTTGACAATCCCATGATTTTCATAGTTCTTAGTAGCACTGAAAGCTAGATGCTCTACTATATGCGCAACCCCTCGCTCTTCTTCCTCTTCTAAAACTGACCTGTAATGAAAAATCAGATTCCTCAAAATTCCTGTCCAAGAAAGTGAATTCTACCATCTCACGTATTCTTGATGTAATTGTATTTACACCCGTCTCAAGTTTCGAACTTGAAACTTCCAAATTGGAGTCAGCTTGTAACCGAGGTCATCCTTGATGACAGAAGCTGGGGCCAGACCCTGACTGCGCAACTCCAAATTATGCAAGAAAGAATCAAAGAATTCAAAGTTTCAAGATAAAGTGGAGAAAGACGAACCCAGCTTGGACAGCGAGGGCGAGAGCCGCTCTCATTTTAGGCTTAGGATTCCGGCGAACATAGTACACCAGGCCGTTTTCGAGGCGACCGTAGTCAACCCCAAATGGATGATCCTCAAACTGGCGATCCCATTCCAATTCTACTTCCTTTAGTGACCGGAAACTTGAGTGCTTTCCGATCAACGACTTCGCCGGCTGAAGTGAACCCATCTCTATTTCTCAAGATCTCCGGTATTTCCCCTTTCTGGAATCAGGAAGAAGGAAATTGGGAGTATGTTATCGACTACTGCTGTCTGACAGGTTTTGGTAGTTGGGGGAATTTTTTTTTTTTTCCTAGTAGAAATTGACCCGGTATTCACGTGTCTTCGCCTTCGCCTCCGTACTGACGCATGTATTAAATAAAAATATATTAAGAAAATACTATACCAAGTGGCTCTTGTGATATAAAAAATATGGAAATGCATCTGGTGGGAATGTGGAACGCGGCTTCCACAACTAATGTAAAGGATTTGTGTGAATTCATTGAAATACCAACTCGCTCTATTTATATATATATAGATAATTATATTAATAATTAAATCATTTACAACATAAATTATATCATGTTATAAAAATTATGTAAGAAATATAAAACATGTTAGGATGCACATATAATACTAACATATCGAACTAATGCCTATGACAAATAAGATAATTAAGTATTAAAAATCTCTAATAGCATATATCATATGGGCAACAATAAAATTATATAAAGATATAAAAAGATTACTTTTTACCTTTATCTTTGTTAGTAGTGACTACATTTATTTTACTATCAAGACCTAACATGAGTGATAAAAAGACATGGTAATGTAATGTCTCCTAACATTATAATATTTGTCCAAACTCAAATAAATTTCTAATCCACATAGAGTGTTGCAAAAAGACTTCGCCTAGGTTCACTTGGGTGGCATTTATGCACTAGGCGGAGGGCGAATACTGCCTTGCCCTTTTTTTTCGGGGTTTCTTTTTATTTTTTTTAATTAAACAACCCTATTTTGTTTTTTCAAATTTTTTAATAAATAAAGACTAAATAGCATTGGGTGGTTCTTAAGTCAACAAAAAGTAACCAACCTTAAATACCAATCATTGAGGATTTTCTACAACTTCAATTCTAATTCTCTTTCACTTTAATTAAATGATTTTAGTTAACTGATTTTAGTTATGTTTATTCTAGACTTCTATTCAGTTTTGTTAATTAATTGATTTTAAATTTTTTAATGATTATTTTTTTATGATCCCCGATTTTTCTGAATTTTTTAAAATTTTTAAGAAAAAAAGTGGCGCATAAATTGCTAAGGCGGTCTAGGCGTCACCTAGGCTCTAGGCGCAGCCTCTGCCTAGAGGCGGCCAGCATCTTCAACAACACGATCCGCATATGAATGAAAAATATCTACTTGCATTTATTGCCACTACAGTACCGGAGTCGTCCAGCCTAGCCTTGGTCACCCTTCCATCTTTTAATGCATCTAGAGCCAACTTCCTCTTCCATTTCCTCTCCTTTTTCTTGCTCGGAGGTGAGACCAAACCCCTTCCGGCTCTTTTCCAGGTCTTCTGTGGAGAATGACCCTTCTCCTTCATCATTTTGGCTAGATAGCAAAGAGGAAAATCCCCAAGAATGGACATTGACTCTTGTTGCTGCAAGGAGTCACTCACCAATTTTGTTTGTTTGCTTTCTTCCACAACCTCCTTACTAGATCTCTGCTCTATATGGATTGGTTGATTATCACTGAACAGTTGCCTTTTAGCCACTTTAGCCTGCCTATAGTTAAGGCTTTCATGATTTCAATTTGGTTAAAGCCTTATTTTAATCTTTTTACTTTAATAAATTTTTTTTTTAATCTCTTTACTTTAAAAAAGTTCATTTTAATTCTAAAAGGTTTATTATCCGATCCTTTTTCAGTTCCTTCATTATCTTTTATACACGTGGTATGTTATATAACGAAAATTCTAGAATAGAAGAATAAAAAAAGGACCATTCGTTAAGTAAAGGACTAAAAAAAGCTTATTTTATTTTATTTTTTTATTAGAAAGACTAAAAAGTCTTTCTACTTTAAAATTTCTGTTATCTAATATGTTACGCATGTAAAAAATAACAGAATGAATAAAAAAAAGTTAGATAATAAATTTTAGAACCTAAAAAAGAACTTTCTTAAGAAAATGGATTAGAAAAAAACTTTTTATTAAAATAGAGAGATCAAAATAGGGTTTTAACCTTCAAATTTAAAAAAGTATTGACTAAAACATAATCTTGCCCTTCAACTGGCCCCAAACATCAACTAATTCAGCTTTGAGTCATTCACCGTACTGTTTTAATATCTTCTTCCCAACTTCCTTGATACTAAATCCTATATCACAATTTGCCTCAAAGTGACTCATACAACCACATAGAAAGCAAAAATATTTTTAATTATATCTTCATATAACTAAATTATTTTTATCAATTTAAAATTAGCTATCAACACCAATAATTTAAGTAATTAAGTGGTACTAACTTTCTTATTGAAAATAAGAGATATTGAATTTGAATTACATAATATATAAGTGGGGTGAGTAAAGGGATGTGAGAGTACTGTTTTTTATTGTGAAATCTAAAAAAATAAAGGTTAATATTTTTAAATACCTTAAGCAACATTTTTTAAAAATATATATATAAATTAATAAAATCAATTAAATCAAACATATCTATAAATGAAAATTAAATTTTTTT